TTGTTCAACATCTGCCTATGTGTGAGAACATGTGGTGAGAACATTTGGTTTTCTGTTCTTGTGTCAGTTTGCTGAGAATGATGGTTTCGAGATTCATCCATAGGACGTGAACTCATCGTTTTTATGGCTGCATAGTATTCCATGGTGTATATGTGCCACATTTTCTTTATCCAGTCTATCTTTGATGGACATTTGGGTTGGTTCCAGGTCTTTGCTATTGTAAACCATGCCACAATGAACATACGTGTGCATGTGTCTTTATAATAGAATGATTTATAATCCTTTGGGTATATACCCAGTAATGGGATTGCTGGGTCGAATGGAATTTCTATTTCTAGGTCCTTGAGGAATTGCCACACTGCCATACACAATGGTTGCACTAATTTACAGTCTCACCAACAGTGTGAAAGTGTTCCTATTTCTCCACTTCCTCTCGAGCATTTGTTGTCTCCAGATTTTTTAATGATCACCATTATAACTGGTGTGAGATTATATCTCAATGTGGTTTTGATTTGCATTTCTCTAATGACCAGTGATGATGAGCATTTTTTCATATGTTTGTGGGCGTCATATATGTCTTCTTTTGAAAAGTATTTGTTCATGTTCTTTGCCCCCTTTTGAATGGGTTTTTTCCTTTTCTTGTAAATCTGTTTTAGTTCTTTGCAGATTCTAGATATTAGCCCTTTGTCAGACGGGTAGATTGCAAAAATTTTTTCCCATTCTGTTGGTTGCCAGTTCACTCTAGTGATTGTTACTTTTGCTGTACAGAAGCTCTGGAGTTTAATTAGACCTGATTTGTCTATTTTGGCTTTTGTTGCCAATGCTTTTGGTGTTTTAGTCATGAAGTCCTTGCCTATGCCTGTCCTGAATGGTTTTGCCTAGGTTTTCTTCTAGGGTTTTTATGGGGTTAGGTCTTATGTTTAAGTCTTTAATCCATCTGGAGTTAATTTTAGTGTAAGGTGTCAGGAAAGGGTCCAGTTTCTGCTTTCTGCACATGGCTAGCCAGATTTCCCAACACCGTTTATTGAACATGGAATCCCTTCCCTATTGATTGTTTTTGTCAGGTTTGTCAAAGATCCGATGGTTGTAGATGTGTGGTGTTTCCTCCGAGTCCTCTGTTCTGTTCCATTGGTCTGTTTTGGTACCAGTACCATTCTGTTTTCATTACTGTAGCCTGTGGTATACTTTGAAGTCAGGCAGTGTGATGTCTCCAGCTTTGTACTTTTTGGTTAGAATTGTCTTGGCTATGTGGGCTCTCTTTTGGTTCCGTATGAAGTTTAAGGTAGTTTTTTCCAGTTCTGTGAAGAGGGTCATAGGTAGCTTGATGGGGATAGTGTTGAATCTATAAATTACTTTGGGCAGTATGGCTATTTTCACAATATTGATTCTTCCTAACCATGAGCATGGAAGGTTTTTCCATCTGTTTGTGTCCTCTCTAATTTCCTTGAGCAGTGGTTTATAGCTCTCCTTGAAGAGATCCTTTACTTACTTTGTTAGTTGTATTCCTAGGTATTTTATTCTCTTTGTAGCAATTGTGAATGGCAGTTTGCTCTTGATTTGGCTCTCTGTTAGTCTGTTATTGATGTATAAGAATGCTTGTGATTTCTGCACATTGATTTTGTATCCTGAAACTTTGCTGAAGTTACTTATCGGTTTAAGGAGATCTGGGGCTGAGACGACGGGGTCTTCTAAATGTACAATCATGTCATCTGCTAATAGAGACAATTTGACTTCCTCCTTTCCTATTCGAATACACTTTATTTCTTTTTCTTGCCTGATTGCTCTGGCTAGAACTTCCAAAACCATATGAATGAGAGTGGTGAGAGACGGTATCCTTGTCTAGTGCCAGATTTCAAAGGGAATGCTTCCAGTTTTTGCCCATTCAGTATGATATTGGCTGTTGGTTTGTCATAAATAGCTTTTATTATTTTGAGATACATTCCGTTGATACCTAGTTTATTGAGAGTTTTTAGCATAAAGGGCTGCTGAGTTTTGTCAAAGGTCTTCTCTGCGTCTATTGAGATAATCATGTGGTTTTTGTCTTTGGTTCTGCTTATGTGGTGGATTATGTTTATAGACTTGCATATGTTGAACAGCTTTGCATCCCTGGGATGACGCCTACTTGATTGTGATGGATAAGCTTTTTGATGTGCTGTTGCAATTGGTTTTCCAGTATTTTATTGAAGATTTTTGCAATTGTGTTCGTCATGGATATTGGCCTGAAGTTTTCTTTTCTTGTTGAGTCTCTGCTGGGTTTTGGTGTCAGGATGATGTTGGTCTCATAAAATTATTTGTGAAGGATTCCCTCCTTCTGGATTGTTTGGAATAGTTTCAGAAGGAGTGGTACCAGCTCCTTCTGGTAGAATTCTGGTATGTCTGGTAGAATTCAGCTGTGAACCCATCTGGACATGGGCTTTTTTTGGTTGGTAGGCCATTCATTGCTGCCTCAACTTCAGCCTTTGTTATTGGTCTATTTAGGGTTTTGATGCCTTCTTGGTTTAGGCTTGGGAGGGTGCAAGTGTCCAGGAATTTATCAATTTCTTCCAGGTTTACTGGTTTATTTTGGTAGAGTTGTTTGTAGTAATCTCTGATGGTTGTTTGTATTTCTGTTGAATCAGTGGTGATATCCCCTTTATTGTTTTTTACTGCATCTATTTGATTCTTCTCCCTTTTCTTTTTTATTAATCTGGCTAGTGGTCTGTCTAATTTTGTTGATGTTTTTAAAAAGCCACCTCCTGGATTTATTAATTTTTGGAAGGGTTTTTTGTGTCTCTTACCTCCTTCACTTCTGCTCTGATCTTAGTTATTTCTTGTCTTCTGCTAGCTTTTGAGGTTTTTTTATCTTGCTCCTCTAGCTCTTTCAATTTTGATGATAGGGTATCAATTTTAGATCTTTCTTTGCTTCTCATGTAGTTAAAAGATAAAACTGGAGTTGGAGGGAGAAGCAGTTCTAAAAATTGGATGGAAACCACCAAAGTTCCTTGGGACTAAATTTCAAGATGTATTTAATGACAGATGAAGGAGAAACGTGAAAATGTTTGCCAGGATTTCCTGTCTACTGCAAGGAGTTATCTTTGGTGGGCTCAAAGCTATTTAGTTCTGTGTTGTGTTTGGATTAAGGACTCTAAAAACACTATTACATAAGGAATTTCATCCTTAAGGCAAATTGGATGTGAACCGAAAGGTTAATCAGTGTTTCATTGTATCAGGATTACTGAGAAATCAGTCACAGAAATTTGCTTGGTAAGGATGGAATCACAGTAAAGTAAGGTGGATAGTTTTGAGGGAAACTCAATTTAGGCCATGGTGTTTAATGAATTATTTTTGTCCTATAACAAAGTACTTCTTTGTTAGTTCCTTAAATTCAGATTGTCTTTTCCAATCTGAATTTAATTAATTATGATTTATGGATAACTTTCGTTTTATTCTGTTATCCTAGGTGACCATCCTCTTCCTGATTGTGCTCTCTCTTCAGCTAAACGATAATATAATTGGTTAGAATTTTGCTTTTTATATTGTAGTTATATTACAGTCTTGCCTTCCAGAGTTACATTCAGGTAAACTTAATTAGAAATTTAGCTTTCTCCAATTTTTTTGAATTATTTTTATATTTTGTTGGTTTATTGCCAGAGATGATGTTATTGTTTATGGGTCTTATTAGTGTGTCTTTTTGAAAGTTACCTTATTTTTAATTAGTTATTTTTGAGGGTCACCTTTTTTTTTTTTTTTTTTTTTGAGACGGAGTTTCACTCTTGTTACCCAGGCTGGAGTGCAATGGCGTGATCTCGGCTCACCGCAACCTCCGCCTCCTGGGTTCAGGCAATTCTCCTGCCTCAGCCTCCTGAGTAGCTGGGATTACAGGCACGCACCACCATGCCCAGCTAATTTTTTGTATTTTTAGTAGAGATGGGGTTTCACCATGTTGACCAGGATGGTCTCGATCTCTTGACCTCGTGATCCACCTGCCTCGGCCTCCCAAAGTGCTGGGATTACAGGCTTTAGCCACCGCGCCCGGCCTGAGGGTCACCTTTTTGCAACGCCTGTGTGTCAATACCGGGTCTATTTAAGGTATGCATAGAGTACTTTGGGGAGCTAAAATGAAACAAGGAAAATATATTTAAGCTTTTTGTTTGGAATATGGGTTATTATATATGGCCTTGGTATTATAAAATTATCTAAACACAAGGCTATCATGATATCACCTTAGAAATAGATAAAAGTTTATCGAGGGCCAGTCTAGGCTGAACACTGCAAAATTTAAATGGATCTAATTAGTCTTCTGTCACACTTTATTAGTGTATATCTGGTTTTTGGTGGGCTACCTAGAATAGGGTTCTCTGAAAAGAGAACCCTATTACCCTACTCGGGTAATAACTTAAATTAAGTTTAAGATCTACAACTTAGAGAGTCCTTAGACATTCACCTTTTATTTCTCAGATACAAATGCCAACTTTAATCACTGAGTAAAGGCAAACACATAATTATGGATAGCATGTCATTAAGTTATATCCTTTTCTCCAGTTACTATTAGATGTATCTCAGATTTTAAATATAATTTCTAAATTTTATTGCGATACCTAACTTTATTATCTTTTCCAAGGCCCAAACACCATTTTGGTATTTTTAAAAAATTGATTTTTCAACTCATTATATTTAAGTTTTCCTTGAAGTGAAATCAGTTAAATATTTGATCTTCAACACACTTGCACAGCCCTGAAATTTCAATAAAAAGTTCATTTTTAAAAATATCTATTTTTCAACCCATTATAGTTAAGTTTTCCTTGAAGTGAAATTGGTTAAATATGCGATCTTCAACACACTTGCACAGTCCTGAAAGTTCAATAAAAAGTAAGTGTAATTAATGTAAATTTGTTTAAATAGAAATATGTGCATGAAACAAATACCTTACCAATGTACAATCTGGTCTGTTTTGGGGTAAAATAGGTAACTTCTCAAGTGAAGACTTATCTCTAACTTTGTATTTTGTTTTATTGACATAGAACACCTTTGCATCTGGCCTGTGCTAATGGACATACAAATGTTGTACTTTTCCTAATTGAGCAGAAATGCAAAATAAATGTCCAAGATAGTGAAAACAAATCCCCGTTGATTGTGGTATGTCATAATTTTTCTTTTTCAATTGGAATGTGTTTGAGTTCTCCTAGTTTTGTTGATTTTCATATTTTAAAACATAGTATTAAACTCATTTATCATAGTATTAAATAGTATTATCATAATATTAAATCAGTTTATCATATACCAAATAGTAAATTGGTTACTCATCTACTTTTGTTGCATTAACAGGCAGTACAGTGTCAAAAGGAGGATTGTGCTAAGATTCTTCTAAACTGTGGTGCAGACCCAAATCTGATGGATTTTTGTTATAATACTGCTCTTCACTATGCTGTTTGTGGTCAAAGTTTCTCATTAGTTGAAAAACTACTTGAACACAAAGCTGATCTGGAAGCTAAAAATAAGGTGATTTTCTATTAAAGAAAAAATCCTATATTTAGAAAGCAACTGGAGTATTTCAGATAATTCATCTATGTTGAAAGACATGTTACATAAAAAATGAATTTTCCAAACTGAAAATTGGGGAGAAAGAGAAGAGATTATCAAAATCTGATAAAAGTTTTCTTCTCTTAAAGTCCGTCTTTATTTTATTGCAGATTGTAATTCTGACCTACAAAGTAACACTATATTTAACAACCATAATTGTTTAAAGGGTCATAACAAATAAGGAATATGTAATTCTCTTATAACGGGGTATTAATAGAAATAAAACCCACCTTTTTTCTATTTTGTTAATATACTGATTAATAATAATGGTTGAATTCACATCACATAATATTAAAATTAATCTGAGTCTTCTATTGAGGCATTATGCATACCAGATGAATTTTTTAAGAAAGCATATTGATACTTTAGTTTACTGATATCTTGTCTACATGACAGCCAAAATAAGTGCCAGCCTTGGAGGTTTAAATGAAACCCAGTGGAAATCTGAACATACAACATTATGAAATGTGAATTGATGGTATGCAATACTTACATTAAATGCTAAGTGCTCATCACTTACTTATTCTAGGCTGCTCTTGCCTACAATTTGAATTAAGCCTAAAATGGAAACTTTAATTTTTTTGGCTCAACACTGATTTGTTTTCTTGGTCTTTGAAATCATATTTTATTGTGTATTAAAATATTTTAAGAGTTAAAGTGTATATTCAGAAGTTCTCATGCACAAATATTTTAAGTTGAACTTAAATCTAAAAAACATGACAATGTGGTACAATATTTTAATCATTTTGAAATAATTTTTTCAGGATGGGTATACTCCACTATTACTTGCTGTTATTAAATGTAATCCAAAAATGCTAAAATTTCTTCTGGACAAAGGGGCTGATGTGAATGCTACAGATAATTATCAAAGGTATAATTAATAAAGTTAAATAAAATAGCACATAACTACACCTAACTAATAGGATTATATGCATATGTGTGTATGTGTATGTGTGTGTGTGGGTGTGTATATGTGTGTGTCTGTATGTGTGTTTGTGTGTATGTGTACACAAAACAAATATATATGATATTGGGAAAATATTGAACCATAAGAACCGTAAGATGTATGCTTTTGGACAAATTACCTAAGCTCTCAGGATTTGTTTTTCCCTTTGTAAAATCAAACAGTTGGACCTGGTTGGTTGGTTATTATTATTATTCATTTATCATTTATTATTAGAATTTAACATTAGATTCTTACATAGAAGACCAACTGTTGTAGTTAAGTGGGGTCAGGGGACCTAAAATCCCAGACACACTCCTTCATGGAATTTTGAGACATGTTTTTGAAAACACTGGGCTTCCAGGGAGAAGAGATTGAAAAGGATTGAGCTAGCTGCTTCCTTGGTGCTGTTCATGTTTAGACCCCATGATATGATCTGTGGTTGGCACACTTTTTTGAGCAGATCTGCTGTACTTTTTACATTCTTGCCTTGACTCTTTCTGATAGAGGTCCTACATTTGACTATTAAACTGAGAAGACTCACTTTTAAAACATGAGGCATGTGTAAGATCTTTAAATGGGCATTCATTTCTATCTCTTGGTCCAGAACAGCTCTTATTATTGCTGTCAGTGGTGAAGCAACATGTGTACAAAGAAGTCTTCTTCAGCAAGGTGTGGAATTATCTTGTGAAGATGTGTATGGATTCACAGCTGAGGAATATGCTTTTCTCAATGGTTTTACTGTGTAAGTGATACTGCATGTCTTTTAACAATTGTGTGGGGTTTGAATATAAGGATCAAAGCCTAAGCCCCAAGGTGCAAGGCTGGAATAGGCTCAAATATGGGGGCAATCACATGCAAATCTGTACAGGGATTCTTGATTTTCTCTGTTTGTGGGTTCAGTCAACATAAGGGCTACAGAAGGACTGAGTATACAAATAAACTATCAGAGGCATGAGCATTGGAAGTGTGCCAGAACAGGGATTTAACACTCATAATATAGCCATTAATAAAACATATAGGTGATAGAGTTGGACAAAAGATGATTCATTCACATAAATCCCCTTCATTGTCTTTAGATATCATTAAGGTATGGATTTTATTCATGTTTTGAATATTATTGTTAACATTTCATTAGCTAGCTTTAGTTTGGTAAGTTTTCAGAATTCTTAAGTGCACTCTATTTACATCCAGTAGAAAAACCATTTTCATGTATAAATACGAAGTTCTGATTTTTAATAGTTAATGAGAAAATAAAATACAATGTTCAGAAATTTAATTTATAGTGAATGAATTTAACTTATAATTTATAGCTTAATGAATTTAACTAACATACAAGATATTTTCTCCATATTTTATTTTAGATATTTTCTCCATAATTTTATTTTAAGAGCAATTTAAAATTATGAGTAGGTATTTTTTTCAGTTTTTGTTATTCTTCTTCCATGACTTTATTAACATTTTAGAAATACTTTTTATTCATAAATTCCACATGAAAAGCATAGGTGAGAAGGAAGAAAAATAATCACATATACATACGGATGTTTAGTCTTAAGTTTAGACACAAAAGAATTTTTATTAAATGTATGAACCATAACTGAATAAATATAATTTTTTCATCTTTGTAATATGGAACATGTGTACTTTGTTTTAAGCAGGTCATGTGCATAAAAACTTAAATGAACATGTAAATTATTGGTGAATATCCAAACTATAAAAGGATTCTTCACTCTATAAAATGGATCCCTTCTGTTTCTTTCATGTATGAATTTTTTCCCATTACTTAAAAAGCTTAGGTATATGAAACTAGGAGACAAATGTATCTGTTTAGTAATGTATCTATTGGTCAAAAACAGTACTTTTATATTTAAGGTAACTTATTTACATCTATGTAAGAAAATCTTATGAAGGCATTATTGGATAGTTTGATGAGAAGAAAATCTTACAATCTTTCTTTATTTCCCCCAAATGGCTTTTAGAACAGAAAATTCTTTTTGTAGATTGCTCCATCATTAATTTTGAAATAAAACATATTGACCATAAAGGTTTTGTCCTCTTAATATATTCATGTTTTAAATGTTGAAAATTCTAAGATAATTAAATTTTTTTCTTTTTTTTTTCAAAGAGGTGAAAGGGAAGAGAAGCAACTTCCTAATGACTAAGCTATTACTTCTAGGATGTGGAAATGATCGATGTTTAATAAAATTTGCAAGTGACTCATTAAAATTACAATCTCATTCCCCTTGTCCTTTTGCAGTATTTGTCCCTCTTTTGCAGTAGGAACTAAGCTTTCTGTAATTGTGACTTTTGTTGCTCAAGTAGCTGTTGCCTATCTAACATGCTTAAGCATGTACTGCTTCGTAGCATTGTTTGTTGGCTTTCTATGTAAAATCTACATAGATTCTATGGCTTAGTAAAGTGGAAGCATAGACAATATTTCTTATATAGTTTTTAAAAAATTAGTGAAACACTTCCAAATGAAGGAATTATATTTTAAGTTTTTATTTTATGGTTAGCCTTAACCCATATATTTCTTCATTTCTTTCATTAAAATTCAGAGCCATTCAGAGCCATATGGCTCTTTTCTGTCATGGAGAAAAGAAGTATTCACCACTGGATATGTTTCAGTCACTGACTGAGTTAATTGTCTTCACTTTGTTAATTTACTGTTAAATCCAAGTGCTGTGAGCTTTCTTTCCCCCTAAAATTTACTCATGACAGCCCATACCCAAGTACATGAGAATGTGGCCATTTTTGGAGACAGAGCCTTTAAATGGGTGTTTAAGTTAAAGTGAGGCCTTTAGGTTGGGCCCTAACTTAATATCCAACCTGAGTCCTTATAAACAGAGGAAGTTAGACCATGCAGAGAGACACCAGGGTGCTTGTGCTCAGAGGATAACTTATATGAAAAGGCCAATTATCTAAAGGGCAGTCGCCTAAAACAGGGGTCTTGAACCCCTGGGCCATTGACCAGACCTGGTCCTTGGCCTGTTAGGACCCGGGCAGCACAACAGGAGGTGAGCCGGAGGCCAGCAAGCATTATCGCCTGAGCTCTGCCTCCTGTCAGATCAGCCAGAGGCATTGGGTTCTCATAGGAGCGTGAACCCTCTTGTGAACCACTTTGTAAGGGATCTAGTTTGTGGGCTCCTTATGAGAGTCTAATGCTTGATGATCTCAGGTGGAACAGTTTCATCCTGAAACACCCCTGTCCCCCGACTTGTGTGGAAAAATTGTCTTCCACAAAGTTGGTTCCTGGTGCCAAAAAGGTTGGGGATCACTAATCTAAAGAACAGTTATCTAAAAGGTAAGAAAATGCCTGGAGAAGATTTTCTATTGAGGACCTCAGAGAAAGCTTACCCTACTGGCACCTCAGTAAACTTGCAGCCAACAGAACCATGAGAAAACTAGTTTTTGTTTAAGCCACCCCATTTGTGGTGTTTTGTTACGGCAGCCCTAGCAAATGAATAGACCAAGTATAAATTAAAGCCATTTTTACTAACTTGCTAGTGGCTTTAAAAAAAATTATATTTGTGATAGCAGGAAGAAAAGAAGTGCCAGAGAAAGGGAGTACATGAAATAAAAGTGGTGTCTGCTGACAGAGTTGGCTTGAGAGCAAGCTTGTCCTCAAGTGTGTTACATTCTGGGGATGACATTGGTTGGTGTCTAAGGTTTTGCTTTAATACTTATATGTTATGAATTACATTTCTATGCATGCTGGCATTCACACATAATTTCTCTTTATGGATAGATACCCACAATCAATGGCAAGTTATGGAAAGAAGAAAAATGTTAAGTAGACACCTTATTCTTGGTACTACATGTGACTAAAGGAAGGTAAGAAGATTGCTAAGTGGATGAGTGGTTTTTCTTGTTGCTTTTTATTTGTGTAGGAAAGGAAATAACTTTAAGTAACATTTAGTTTTAAAATAGAAATTTTGTATTATTTTGAAATGTCGAATATTGTTAAGAGCTATTCTTAAGAATATTTGTTATTAAAATATTTTGATACTGTGTTGGCAGAAAACATAAAGATGTAATGTAAAAATATGCTTAATGATTAAGATCTTTTTGTATCCATAGTCTCATGTCTAGCTATAAAACACAAAATTTTTGCACATATATAGATATTTTAATAGATAAACTATCATAAAAATTTAATTTTATTGTAAAAATATTTTAAATAAGCACTGTTGATAATAGTTATGATATATATCAAATATTATGTAAAATTTAAAAGAAAGTAACAGTATTTGTAAAGAATTGAATTTACCATGCATCAACTGAAATAAAATTTTGGTGTTCATTTTCAAGAATATATACAGTTTTTTAGGTCTGTAAACATAACTTTTATTGACAAGTATGTTTTTTACTGACTTCTTTTGTTGGATGAGAGAGAAAAATTTTTAGAACTCCCCTCTTTATTCGCTAGCAATCACACTCCTGTACTACAGTTCACCCGCAGTGTAAAAATGGAAGAAAATAAAAAGAACATAGGAGTGTGGAGACAACAGGAGATTATATACATTCACAATTATTCAAGATCTCTCCATCCCCTATCCCTGCAAATCTATAGTGATAATGCGTACAACAATATTTTGTTCTATCAATTCCAGGTGAATAAACTTAAGGGAGAATTTCTCTGAATTACTCTTTTTTTTTTTTTTTTTTTTTTTTTGAGACAGAGTCTCACTCTGTCACCCAGGCTGGAGTGCAGTGGCACAATCTCAGGTCACTGCAATCTCAGCCTCCTGGGTTCAAGCAATTCTCCTGCCTCAGCCTCCTGAGTAGTTGGAATTACAGGCGTCCACCGCCATGTCTGGCTAATTTTTGTATTTTTAGTAGAGATGGGGTTTTGTCTTGTTGGCCAGGCTGATCTCAAACTCCTCACCTCAGGTGATCTACCAGCCTTGGCCTCCCAAAGTGCTGGGATTACAGGCATGAGCCACTGTGCCTAGCGCTCTGAATTACTCTTAATGTACACGCTTATTTCCTCTTCTCCTGTACCTCCCTCTCTTTTAAATGTACATGCAGCTCTAAGAAGTAAATAATTTCTGTGATTTATACTTCATTTCTTAAGGGAACTAAAGCAATAGAAACTACAGAAAAATCATTGCTACATTTTAAGTGCTTCTTGAGGGTATACGTTTAAAACCATGCTCAATAATTTTATTTTGGCAATCTTTGTTTATGGTTCATAGTGAAATGTTAATTTTTATATGTTTTAAAGCATAGATTTATTGTGTCAAGAAAATGACCGAAAGATGCTGCAAAAATGGTAAACTTAAAAAGTTATATTTCTGTCAAATTCAAAAGGGCAACTTAATCATTTAAAAAATGTCTCTTAGATATAGAAATGCTAAATTATAATTGTGTTGTAGCTGAGGCATATAATTTAAGAAATACACATAGGAATGGAAATGTTTAGACATAAGTGAAGACATTATGAATATCATTTGTTTCCTAGATATGGAACCCATTTCTACAATTTCTTTGGCACTTTGTTGAATTATAAAGATCTATTTTGAAAGAGCCATTAAGTGAATTACTATAACATTTTTTGCTGACCGCCCAGTTGAAGAAAGTTTTGTTAAATGGATGGCATTTTTTTTTTCACTTTAGAAGACATGAAGAAATTTTACAAGATAAACTTCTATATTGTGAACCATCAGCGGAAAACATATAATTTGTGTTCAATATATAGGCAGAAAAAATTTTGTGTCAAAACACTGAATGGAATAATAATGAGTAAACTGTGTTAGGCATGTATTAAAACATTTAAATAAAATAAAAATACATTTCAGCTACAAAATGAAGAAAATATTATAAATAATCCTGTATAAATCAAAATTCTCTTTTATTTACAAGTATTTTCACAGGCAAAGCCTTTTTGATTTTTTAGAAATGCTACATTACTATAATATATATTCAGGAGACTCATGGTTTTTTTTCTTTTTCTTTTTTTTTTTTTTGAGACGGCGTCTCTCTCGGTTGCCTAGGTTGGAGTGCAGTGACACATCTTGGCTCACTGCAACCTCCACCTTCTGGGTTCAAGTGATTCTCCTGCCTCAGCCTCCCCAGCAGCTGGGATTACAGGCATCCACCACCACACCCAGCTAATTTTTGTATTTTTAGTAGAGATGGGGTTTCACCACGTTGTCCAGGCTGCTCTCGAACTCCTGTCCTCGGATGATCCACCCGCCTCGGCCTCCCAAAGTGCTGGGATTATAGGTGTGAGCCACTGACTGCGTCCAGCCAAAATTTGGGTATTATAGAAAAGAAAAAAAAGAAAATGCATTGCCCAAAGTCTCATTACGCAAACTAAACATTTGTTAAATTTTTGGCATGCTTTGTAGTATTTTAAAATTTCCTTAGTTTTTTTTCCCTCGAAGAGAATTTACAATTGCACATCTTTCTTCTTAAAAATACAATACCTCTTTCACAGTTTTCACTGTGCTCTTTGCTATAGCTTAAACACATCAAGTGTGGTCTGGCTTCAGAACAGCTCCTTATAAGACCCTTTTTTCTTTAGCTGTTGCCTAGGACAACTCCTCATGGGACCTCAGTAGCTGCTCTGTTGTTCTGTCACTTACAATGCACCACTATGTACTCCTCTTGTGTTTTGGAATTAAATCTCCATGAGGGCTTGAAATTTTTGTTCCCTACTACCTGTAAAATGCCTGGTGTGCAGTAGATACTCAATTTGCTGAATAATAAGTGATACTTGTCAGGCACTGTTCCAATAACTTTATATATCTTAACCTCATGACCTTTGCACAGTCTTGATGAGGTAGGAATCATTTACGTCCTCATTTTAAGATCAGAACATTGAGTTGCTACATGGTTTAATGATTTGCTTAGGTTGCTGAGCTAGAAGACTGGGAGCTGGTGTATAAATCCATGCTCTCTGGATTTGAACCCAGCCAGTTGCCTTCCAGAATTTGTACCATGAACCAATATGTCATGCCATTTCTCTCATGAATGAATGTCTATCATCCTTGTAAGCGCTACCTTTTTTTTGGGGGGGGGCACAAAGCCTCACTCTGTCACCCAGACTGGAGTTCAGTGGCACACTTCAGTTCACTGCAATCCCCACCTCCCGGGTTCAAGCAATTCTCATGACTCAACTTCCCAAGTAGCTAGGATTACAGGTGCCTGCCACCATGCCTGGCTAATTTTTGTATTTTCAGTAGAGACAGGATTTCATCATATTGGCCAGGCTGGTCTCAAACTCCTGACCTCAGGTGATCCACCTGCCTTGGCCTCCCAAAGTGTTGGGATTACAGGCATGAGCCATTGTGCCTGGCCAGCTCTACTTTCAATGGCTCAGAAGGAAGATTTTCTTTCAATTTAAAACTTATAAACCACTCTTTTATTTAAGCATGTTTGTTTCACTTATTTCTAGTGCTAGGTGATATTGAAGAGCTAAAAGGGAGGAAAAAACCCAGACAATTCCTGACTTCAAGTCAACAAATATTTAATTTCAGCTATTATATTAATAAGCAAATCTTAACTGGAAGCAATTTTGTCTCCCAGGGGATATTTGGCAATGTCTGCAGAGATTTATGGTTGTCAAGACTGAGAATCAATACTGCTAAGTATCCTATCATACATGGGACAGTCCCCACTACAAGTAATTGTCTGGCCTCAAATGTCAATAGTTTCGAGGCTGAGAACTCTGATCTAGATTTTATATTATATGCTGGGGACCAAAGATGAAAAATATATTTTTATATTCTCTGCCTTAATTGAGCTCACAAATGTTTAGTTTCCCTACTCCCAGCCTTCTCAGTATGTAAGTAAGTGAGAGAACTCTCATCTTGCCATTAGCAGAAAAGGAGGGAGTGATAAACTGCCTACAGTTAGGGAGGGTCAGGGTGATTTCAGATAAAAAGGAACTTTTTGGCTGGGCTCGTGGAATAAGTAGGGTTTCTCTAGGTCTCCCAGTGAAAACTTAACCATAATAAAAAATTTATAATAGAGGCTAAAGCAAAACACCCAAGAATCAGAGGAGAGAGGAAATCATCACAAGGTTAATGTTAGTGGGGTAGATGAGATTTTAACCAGGTCCTGAAGGGTAGGTGTAATTTTGACATAGTACCTCTAATAAGAATTTAGGCTGGGCACCTTGACTCACACCTGTAATCCCAACACTTTGGGAGGCTGAGGTGGGAGGATCACTGGAGCCCAGGAGTTTGAGACCAGCTTTAGCAGCATAATGACATCCCATCTCTACAAAAAAAATTAAAAATTAGCCAAGCACATGCTGGTAGTCTCAGCTACTCAGGAGACTCCTGCCGAGGTGGGAGGATCGCTGGAGCCCAGGAGGTCGAGGCTTCAGTGAGCTGTGATTTTGCCACTGTACTCCAGCCTCACCTTGTCACAAAAAGAAAAAAATAAATTAGGTGGGATGAAGAACTTTGTGTATTTTATAACTGAATTTGTGTTGACTACTCATTGTGGAAAATGTGTACTCTAAAATGATACGCTGTAGTGCAGATGTGGTGCACAGATATTTGACCTGATTTTGCCAGCTCTGCTTCTCCATTACTGTTACATCTCTCGGAATATTTTTGTGAATTCTATCAAGTATTTCAATTCTTAGAATATTGTCAAGTTGTGAAGTACTTTTTGTGTGCAAATTTACTTTTCCTTTAAGAAGTTTAACAACAGAAAACTATTTAATACATACTAAATTTTAGGTAAACATGTAAATTTCCTTTAAGAAACCATATAAGTAGACTACTTTCCTCACTCGTGGACAGCTGGGAGGAATACATTTCTTCATGAATGATGTCTTCCCCTAACCAACTTAGAGTTATGGCATAAAGTTATGC